GGAGGGGGCCGAGGCCGCGGCGGGCGAGCGGGGGCCCGGGGCGCCGGAGGAAGAGCGGGGGCCACCGCCTTCGAGGCCCAGGAGCCCCGAGGAAGGAGAGGAGTCGGCGAGGAAGGCGGCCCGGCAGCGGCCATCCGAGGAGGAGGAGGCGGCGGCGGCCCCAGCCGCGAGGCAGGCGGACTGGGGGCCGCGGGAGGCCGGGGGAGACGAGGCGGTGTCGCCGCGCGCGTCGAGGACCCCGGAACAGCCCACGGTGGGGAGGACCCAGGACGTCGCGGACGGGAGGTCGTCGCCGCGGAGCCTGGAGCTGGGCAGGGAGCGCCTGCGCTTCCAGGTGAGGCTCAGCGGACCAGGGAAACGGGCGCGGCGAGCCCCGGGGCTGGGGTGGGGGTGTCCCCTGGTGCCGGGCCCTTCCCACCCGCCAGGGCCGCTGTGGAGCTCTCGGCGTCTTGGGCGCAAGCCACGTCCTGCCCTTCGTACCGGCGACAGTCCTGCCACTGCGGCGTTAAGTCCAGCATAGACTGGTTGGTACGAGTTGCCACTGTGAAAGTTTAGCTCCCTCGGTTGGCCAATGCCCGTTTCACATTTCTGAGAACACCTTTGCCTGGTAAACTCTGACCGTGAGGTTCCTTATCAGAAGGTGAACTCCCCCCCGTCAGGGCGTCGCTTCCTAAAGGAGCGCACTCACGTTTCTGAATTCAGCGCGGCAGGTGCCTTGACTGGACCACTGGGACCCAGGTCTGCTTTCTTCCCTAATTTTTGCTCGCATTTACTGGAAGCTAGAACCGCAGAAGTGCCTCCTTTTGGATTTTTTTCCGTGCCATGAAACAAAACCACCACCACCCACTCCTACAGAACCATATTGTTGTTGAAGAATATGGGCTGTTGTTAGCTTTGGGAGAGCAGTGGGGCACGGAGGGTGTAGGGTGAATGAATCCGGCCTTTTGCATCTCTGGCCACCACCTGCGGCCTTGTGTTGATGCAGCAGGTGATTGGGAACGTGGGTGCGGGGCACTCGAGCCTGATGGTGGACAGCTGGAGTGTGGATGCTTATGCATGCGTAAATGTGCATGTACGCCTGACCTCGAGGCCAGGGATGTAAGGGTCGCATTGCTCAGGACAGCTAGGAAGGGGACAAGCCAAGCGGTGTGACTACAGATGAAGCAAGGTGATGAGAGAGCTGAAGTGTCTGGGAGGGCATTAAGATTGGGGGGTTGGGGGCAGCTAGAGGGTCCAGTGGCCTGCCTGCCTCTTGCTGCATACCATTTACAACCCCCCCCCAACACCCCCTATTGCCAGTCTACAGGTTTGCCACTGCAGAGAGGTCTGTTAACATTAGCAGAATCCATAGGTTAGAGGACAGTTGTGCCTGGGGGAGTCCTTTGATTTCCACATATCTCTCAGCTGCAGTCTGGGGGTGCAGCGGGGGAATAAGGAGAGGAGTGCAGGAAGAGCCTAGAGCGCTCACTCTCAAATAACCATGCACAAGCTTGGAGTGATTCAAATCACCTGTGATCTTAAGGCTTAACTTTCGTAAGCTTCAGTTGGCTCACCTGTGAAATTGCTCCAAGCGCTCTCCAGAAGTCTTTCCGTCTTCCGTCTGACTCCAAAAACTTGTTAACTTTTACTGAGAAGGAGGAATAGAAGTTTAAGAATAAGGTAATGCTGGTTTAGCTCATGACTAAGCATGAATTGTAGCTGTATCACAATTTAGATTCCTGGAAATTGAGCTAGCAGTATAGTAAAACTTAATCTTGGATGATATGGTAGTTTTAGGAGGCAGCCTTAACTTTTTAATCTAATCACTTTGATAGGTGTATGACCTAACACCTGACTCTTATCCTTCAGAGAAAAATTCTCCCTAAAACATTCTGGGTGTTTGATCTATTACCTGAGAGGAAACATCTGTTTGGTATTTTTGTCAGTTAACTGACACTGAACCAAGTCAATCTGGCCTTTAAACTTCTCAGACTCTTAGTAATTTGCTTGATGAAGCCTTTAGCTCAGTTACTATGTTAGAGAGACAAATTCCATTTTGCACTTCATGATCTGGAGTAAAGATGCCAGTTTTAAGGTTCAAACACTGTAGAAGCTCTAAGGGTAACTGCTGTCCTGATGATTCCACCCTGATAGAGCCTTTTGTTCAGTTCTTAGAGCAGAAGTACGGCTATTATCACTGCAAGGACTGTAACATCCGGTGGGAAAGTGCCTACGTGTGGTGTGTGCAGGGCACCAACAAGGTAAGAAAATGCCAAGTGAGGTCATCTCTTTGACAAGTGTCAAGAGGACATTGCTTTACGTTCCCCTCTCCTCTTTTGTCACAGGTTTACTTCAAGCAGTTTTGCAGAACTTGTCAGAAGTCTTATAACCCTTACCGGGTGGAGGATATCACTTGTCAAGTAAACTGAATGTTTGCATTTGTGTTTGAAATGGGTAGTGGTAGAGGGCTTTAGTATAGTTTCTTGATCTATCTCATGAAAGAGGATAGATTTCCAGGGGTTTGAGGCTTTGACTGATTTTTGATAGTTGTAGAAATAGTACTCAACTGGTAAATTGGGCTTTGTGACTCCTTCTGCCCTTGCAAATCTTGGTCATGTTAACTAACATCTTTGGAGACTTCACTTGAACTATAGAAGAATATTTACATTACTGTTGCTCATCTAATGTAAGAGGAAGCAAACTGGAAAATGGAAAGCCTCTCTGTTGATGTGAGGGTGGTTAAGGTTGACTGTTTTCCTGAAAGAGGCTAGGTTATGTTTTTTTATGAAGCATATACCCAAACTGTTTAGTATAAGCATGAGATTTTAACGTTTGTCTTGCTTGGGCTAGAATGCTTGCAAAAGGTGGATGACTTGTTTTAAAAATAATTCTAAGCTGTCCGGCTTTATGGGCAGCTTAAATTGGTAACGCGTTGCTTATTAACTTAAGCACTGCACTGTGCTCAAGGGTATATAGAGCATCTAAAAGGAAGGAAATGGTGAGATGTGCTCTCACATAGCTAGTGGAGTCTGTCCTATTTGCCTGTTGAGAGAGCCTTCCTACTAAATGTCCTTGACTCAAGCTGGACATTAGAAGCCTAACACCATAGGGTGGATGGGGAAAAACTAAGTATGAAAATCTTAGCCCTACTCTGCCATACCCAAGTTTGCCTAAGGTGCCAAAGTGAGATGCCTTCACCAGGCTGCTTTTGGCTTAGTACTTTAGTGCTCAGCCTTCTGCCTCAGCTTTAGGTCACTTGCAGCAGGTGGAAAGACAAGGTCAGCTGCTGATGCAGGCCTGATGCAGTCTTGCTGCCAGTTACTAGTCGTAAGTTTTTCAGACTCTTCTCACTCAATTGATTGATCCCCACTCTCCTCACCCTGCTTTCTTTAGAAAACTTTCCAAGACATGTCACAGTGTAGAAATGAATCTGTGCAGTGTGAGGCACAACTCCATGTTTGAATACCCTGTGTTCTAAATAGATTATTAGACGGAATAAGATTAGTGCGGGGCTCTGTTTGGAGTTCTTTCACTAAGTATTTGAATGTACTATATAAATAGCTGAAGTTGTGGAAATCAAGGGTTTTTTTTGTATGTACTCTCTTTGATTTTCCAGAGTTGTAAACAGACTAGATGCTCCTGCTCAGTAAAACTACGCCACGTTGACCCTAAAAGACCCCATCGGCAAGATTTGTGTGGGAGATGCAAAGGCAAACGCCTCTCCTGTGACAGTACTTTCAGCTTCAAATATATCATTTAGATGAATGTAAAAATATGGTCTTGCTGGACTTGTGCTGGTGGAGCAGACAAGTGAGCTTTTCTTCATGCTCCTTTCTGCCTCTCCCTTCTGAAAATACTTCCTGAAAGGCTGTATTTTTGACAAAGCCTTTAAATAAAGTATTGCAAAGCAATTGCTAAACTGCAAAAAAATCTTTTTTTAAATAAAGGTTTAGGAAAGCTTAATTTATGCTAACAGTCTGGCCCTGTCACTTTACCTTTATTAATCTTTCATGGTGTATGGTGTGGCCATCCTCAAAATTAGTCACTCATAATAGTTTGAGGTGGGAGGGGGCTGGGGCTCAAAGTTGTGAGCTAAACTTACAGGCAAGATGAGTTGAATAAACAGCACCTGACCATCAGAGTAGCCTGCCTCTGTGAGAGGTATGAGTTGGCTGCTGGAGATAACCAGTCAGAAGCCTGAGTGGCAGGCTGTGGGTGGGAGTGTCAGTGCATTTGGATGATCTTGAGTAGGTAACAACCTACAGGGTGGAGTGGGTAGGGTCTGCTCAGAATGAAGTGGGTTTGTTAATTCCAGTTTCGCAGATGTGAGGCAGCTGGGGGACTGGAACAGAGTGGCTCAGGGGAGGCTTCTTTAAAATGTTAATGTCATCAAATGGACTTCCACTGGTAACTTTTGTATTGAATAGGCCTCCTAAATGTGAAGATTAAGTGTGATCTGTTTGCAGCCTTAGATTTGACTAACTTGGCCTTCTAGAATTAGAAATGGTGTCTTGCACCAGCTAACACAGGGGTTCTCATCCTAACTGCACCTAAGCTTCCCACCCAATTCCTGAGAAAACGCTGTAGCCCAGTTCCAAGCACCTCTGGTCAGGTATGGTTAAATTAGTCTTAGGAGAGTCTAATCTTAGAGTTGAGAGCAGCTGGTTTAATGGCTACAAAAACCACATAATTGGTACCGCATACTAATTTTGCCTCCCAATATCCTAACCACCCTGTTAACCCTTATCACCTTAGAAGGCCATACAAATAACTTTGATAACATCTCCAGTGCTGTATATGGACCTATACAAGGAATAGGGAATATAAAACAAGTTTGAGGTCTTAGAAAAAGGGTAGAAACTCTTTGCATCCATATAGATCTAGAAAGTTGTTTGTAAAAGTGCACTTTCCTAGGCCTTTGTTCCTAATGAGTACTCTGAAGACTTTAAACAAGCACCCTCAGCAAGTAGGGTGAAAACTACCACTTAGAAGGCCTTTCACTTACTATACCAAAACATAGGTGTGGCCTTTGCCTTCATGGAGCTTTTAGTTACTGGGTAGATCATTAATTTCTACATAAAAAAATATTAAGTGCTTGTGATAGATCGGGGGATCTGGCTTTGGTCAGCAAAGGTATGCCGAAGACTTCAGCTGAGCTGAAGTTTGACTTAAATTAGGTGAAGTGAGTAACACATGCAAAGGCCCAGTGGTAGAAAAAGCCAGGAGTGGGAAGGGCATGATGGCAGGGGAGACTGTAAGCCTAGACTGTGGGGACTTAGACTTTGCTCAAGGTTACTTCTTATATCAGTGAGAATTCACTGAAATGGTTGAAAGCTGTTGTAGGACATTGAGAGATTTACCTTTAAAAAGGTTACTCGGGTTTACTAGCACCCATCATGTGGGTGCTAGTAAACCAGTAAGGTGACTTTCAAAGACCTGATACAATTATGGCAGTACCATAGAGGATAAAGATGAAGGGATGTTTTCTTCTAGTCTATTACTACCTGGTTGGTTGTTGGTAGGCACAGGGATGAGAAATTCATTTGACTCACATATTATATATAATCTGCACTTAAAAGCATTTGCTAAACGAGGGGAAGACAGAAGTATACCTGTAATCAATCCTCAGACATTCACTATATGGGTAGTTAAATATTCTTTTTTTTTTTAATTACAAAAGTTTATTTTTACATCATTTTGTACATTTCTTTTCCCATCTCA